TTAATGCATAGTTACTCTGCGAAGAAGGGAAACTGCTAATCTCACTTCACAGATGAGGACATAAGGTGGAAAGAGATTAACCTAAGTCAGTTACCTAACAGCCCATGGAGAATAAGTAGTGGAGCCAGGATTCAAGCCTGTGGAGCCTGATTTCAGGGTAAAATTAACTTATTTTATCAATGGAATTGAACTAACTACATATAAGTAATACTGAGGACATCAAAACAAATGCACTGCATCATCTTGAAGTTAAAAAAGAACACAAAAATATTCGCCTTATTTTTCTTCCCTTTTAAAATCTGAGTCCTCCAAATGCCACCATCTAGTCCATAAACCACGCTCTGTATGCTCTGTATTTTTCCCTAGCTCTCTCAGAAGTGAGAAGCCAACCACTGAATCCATACAGATTAACCACAGGACTAAGAACTAAGGCGCCTACATCCGCATGACTTTATTATTTATGCTAAGAAATTCCTAGCCACAAAGATAAGGCTGTAAATCAGTAAATGACTTCATTGTACGTGTCAGGAACTTCCTCAAAGTCCATTTACACCAACAATAGACTACTCAAATGATCTCCTTTTCACAATATCCTCTCAACTTGGCAAACAACTCACTTATCAAACAACTGGGTACTTAGAAGACTTGGTTAAGATCCCTGCCGCACTGTGTCCACGAATCCTAAACTCGGATCTCACGAACTCTGCCCAGTTTCCGTCAGATCTCTGCACTCACAGGCCACCTTCAATCTCTCAAGGTGGACCTGGAACTCCACAAAGTCCGCCCAGGACCTCTCCCTTGGGCGTCTCCTGGGGCTCCGCCCAGGTGTGCTCTCTTTACTGGAACAGCAGTAAACTGCGCTTTGCTTGGTCAGCAGGCTATCCTGGCCTTTGCGGGAGCTGGTGGTCAGCCTCAGGGAACAACCCAACTTCTTTTCAGCTGCTCTCTTATCAACAACTTTTTCTTTAACCTCTTTTCCTCTCAGATCCACACTAGAGCCTGGATGAAATTAAATATGCCAGGAAATGGGATCATTATAGAAAAAGATAAACATAAACCAGCCATTGAAAGGGGGCCAAGTGAATCTGATAATAAATTCAATATGAAACTTTAAACTGTATTTTATTGTAGCCATAGTTTATTAACTCTAAGCTAAATTGGGTTAATTACACATTTCAAACTAGTCTGAAAGCATCCCTATAATTGAGGTTTAGAAATAAAAGGGGGGAAAAAAACAACTTGAAATGCCAAAGTTTAAACTGTTTTGCCACTTGATTAAATTTTACAAAATTTCCTTTTACTTTAACTCATTTACCTCAAATGCTATGTATCAAATATGAATATATGAAATATAGTTAATCTTTAAAAAACAGCTGACTAAAAATGATTTAAACCTGTGTAAATATAAAATTAGTCATGTGACATCATCTTTCAATTATATAATCATTTTAAATAGATTTGTTATATTTATCTATGCAATTA